CTATATGTATTTTTCCTTTAAAATCACAAAAAACAAATAAATGTTTTTGCTGTAGTTTAAAATGCATCAATTATAAATGTACAATTACAACATGTACAATATTAAAATGTGCTACAGGTGGATACAAGCTTCCATAGAAATCAAATGACACTTTAAGTCTTTTACAATGAAAAATAGATCATAGATCTAATGATCATTCTAAATGGATCACTGGAAATGGAAATGGATGAAGTGTACAGTTACAGCAGGTTTGTGAGGTTTGCTTTGAGCTCATTTGAACAATGCAGACAGTCATGCTGCCACAGATAGAGGTCTCCAGGGCAACAGCAGGTCACTGACATTATATAGCAGAGAATTTAAATGAGCTTCAGCATAAAGACGTCTTCTATGATCGTTGCATGTTTTTCCACCGAACAAAAGACGTATTTTTAAATCAAATTTTGGCAGCTCAATATCCTTTCAGTCTGTATCATACACTCTTCTCCTCTTATTACACATTGTCTTCCTCTCTCTGTGTCTCACCCCCCCACACACACATAAATACCCTAACCAGAGCTTAACTCCCTATCTCACTCTCCATCTATCAACAACATTTATCGCCAATTGGAACCGGATGGGGCTGTTTGTTTCTTGCTGCCATGACAACCAGGACAGAAGGTTTTCCCTCTCTGCAGTTTCCTTGAGGATGGAACAGCTGCTGCCCACTCTCTGCACTCCTCTGGCCATACACGTACATTCACAATGCATTCACAATCTTTCCCAAAAGCACACGTACATTCGACATAAAGTGCTGACTGAAAACATCACCTGCTTCTCCTGCGACTGTAGGCCTACGCTGGCACACACTCAAACACTCTTTAATTCTGCCTGCAGTCACTAGATCTATTGGATGTGACAGTTAATGTTATGCTCCGTTAGTCACGTATCACTGGCACTTCCTCCTCTCACACTATCTGTGTTGGGAGTGTTTGCGCAACCTACTCTGATAGGGTCCATATGAGGCCTGCTTTATAATGCGCGCGCACACACACACACATATGACAGTGTATAAACTAAACATACACACAGACACACACTCCAGATAAACATGGTCATTTTCCTGCTGAGCTACCCAGATTCTGCTTTGATGGGTTTTTCAGAGAGACAGCTGTGGTTG